TATATATATATATATATACATAAATAACGGCGAGTAGTAGCCATACACCCTAGACTACGTACGAGGTTAACTGTTCACATTGAAAAGACGAGTCTGTCATAATCTGTTCTCGTTATTATAGATAATAAACAATTCGGTCTGGTTCAATGAAATTAGTGTATAATCTTCTATCCTGTATCTCATGGCACTTTGGTGCAATCGTGTTTTATATGTTCGTACTATGTAATAAAATAAACTATCTGATTGGTCTGTGCAAGGAAATTTACCTTTTGACTTCATGTGTTCGACACAAAACAATCAAATATTTTGACATATTGACAGGTTTCACAAAATATTTTTCTTTAATTATTATTATTAGGAAAGAAATGAAAATTACTAAACTCGTTTAATGAATCTGACATTGTAGAAAGAATATAGCTGCCTCCAAAATTGTTGTATAACTATGCACAATGATGTTTAGTCTTCTGACCAACATTTTAGTCATTTCTGTTACATTTGTTGAATTTGTTATTAAAAGAGAGTAGTTCAATTTGTGGTCATTAATAAATATATAATTGCTCATATGACATAAATTCTATGTTATCCCTCATGGTATTGCGCGCTCGTACGTAGTCTTGAGCACAGTTTTTCATACAAATTCTCAAAAACGTATTCATCCTTCCAAATAAAACAATTTCATGCGGTGGGACTCGTGCGAATATCGAGCATCAAAAAGCCTTGTTTGCTGCGAATAGTATCTGAATCCGGGAATTAAAACCCATTACTGGAAATTCAACTAGTTACATACTACGTTCAGATAATAATGCTTTTACTCATATATATTGAAATTATATCGTTTTAGCGGGTTCCGATAGCCTGATATTGTTGTTAAATCCACAGCCGCTGACACACCAGTCCCAGTCTGTGCACTCTTACGTTTACCAATGTATGCGTTATATTGAAACGACTGCATGTCTGGTAAGAATACTTTTGAATGTATCTATTTTTTTCTTGTTCCCCACTTAAGAGATTATGCTTATTCAGTTATTGCTTTGCAGCTCTTTCATTTAAAATAGATTTATTTTTTAAAAACTTGACAACAGGAAGAGATTGTCGACTGAAAAAGGTGGGTAATGTGGTATTAGATGCATATTGTGTTGTACTACAATAGGTGACGGATTTAATAACCCCTGTGCGCAGTCATGAAATTTGTGATTATACCAGCAGTTGACACTTGGTCTATTATGGCATCTTGCTCGTATAATGAAGTTGAAAATCAAGCGCATTTATTTATAACAAAGAGTGTAGTTTTCATCAATTTCCAGTTTTCACCCAAATCCAGGCGAATACAACCGCCCGCGATTATGGGCAACAGTCCCTAGTAGTTGAGTGATGCAGTTGGGAAAATACCTCGACGAGTTTTTTGCATTAAAATCAACTACAATGTCATTGAATGGTAATGTTTTAACCATTGCAGAGAGGTACAGTCGTAATGGGTGTCATCCTCGTTCATTTTCCATGACTTCATAGCCACTAACTCAGAAACAACCCAATTTGTAACAATATCTAACAACTTGAATCTCCCCGACCATAAAAGAGGTGAACAAAAATGTTGGGTTATTTAAATATCATATGGTTTGTGTTTCCATTGATCAGGACACGGAGTCAAAACGTCAAATGGCGCACAATAAAACGACAACTATAATCGACAATATTGTAGTGCGCAAGAGGTTACAGAACAAGGCGTAAGATAATATACCTTATTGTTACTTCATTGTACAATTTGTAAGACTTATCTCTTTTTTCGAAATAGTTCATACTTCCAAGATGAGAACTGTTGCGTTTATTATAACCTGCATTATTGTATTATTAGTTATGTATGCCGACATAAGTATGTTATTCTCAAAACATCGAATCGTCTTAAAGGAAACAAAGATGTAAGTGACTTTCATGTTTTATATCGTTCTGATTGATCGTGAGCTTGTTTTTAATTATACAAGCCATTGTTACATAAACGGCGACCAGAACTGTTTGCCGTGTTTAGAACTCTAAACGTAAATAACACTCATGCGAATTAAATCTTTCTGTGCAAGGGGGCACGTAATGAGAAAAAAGTGCAACCATCTGGTATTTGGGTTCAAAAAAGCACACCAATTTTCCGAATTTTGCAAGAGAGGTAAACAATTATTGGCGTCTGCAATGACTGGCTCGTGGACCAGTTTCTTTTCATAAAACGTGTAGCTGTATCGTGACACTGGTCAAAATTTCGTGATACACTCGCTTCTCGTCTGGTTATTTTTGTATGTACAACTCTTGGGGATAATTTGCAATTAGGGCTTGTAGCTAACAGAGTACTTTATGTTTGTGTATATCTAATATTCACAGATCTAACTTTTAGTTTGAAAATTTCTCAAAGTAAATTCTGTATTAACCATCCCATCTGTGATTCATTTTGAACGTAAACTTTTACTAATTGGACCTGTATAAATGTCTGTGTTCAAATATTTTAATCAAGACATTTTATCTATAGGTTATTTCAAAGTTAGTAAGGAAGAACTATGTCTTTTAAAGGGATCAACGTTAGAATCTTGAGTTTGTATCGTGATGTTTAGTTTATGGTGATATTATGTCGTTACCTATTAGTGAGATTAAGGAAATGTTTCTATTTTGAGTTTAAATATGAATGCTGTGAATATTGTGTGGGATAGTTATGTATATATATTTAGAATGAATAATTGTGATATTACTTAACTTTAGCAACTTTCACCATGTTTTCACAGGTACAAGCAACAGTCTATTGGACATTCACGGAAAGAGGTTTTAATTTCCCCGGAAGAAACGACATTAGGGAAACCTGAAATGCATGAAAACAATATTACTGGTATATCTAAGAATTGCAGTCCGATAATAAAGTACATATTTGTTAAAACAACGAAGACAGCTGGTAGTGCAGTTACTACTTTATTTTTTAGATATGCAGTGACACATAATTTAATTGCTGTTGCCAATCTTGAAACGCATGAATTACATGTAAGTGATGGGAAAGTAAACGCCAGCAGGTATTCATGCGCCAAGCATTTTCCGGGTTATGACGTCATAGCCAACCATATATCATGGTATGATTATAAAGCATTGAACAGTGAAATACCAAACGCGAAATTTATAACTGTACTTCGCTCTCCATATACACAATATGAGTCAGCTTTTTATTATTATAAGATTCATCTCAATCTTAAATTGGAGAGATTTAACAACCCATTTAAAGAATTTTTGGACCAGGGATACCATAAGACAAATAACTCACGCATGAGACACCAAAAACGGAACGGTCAGCTTGTACGACTTGGTTACCCAAGACTAGGGGATCATAACAACCAAACTAAAATTGAGCTGAAGATCAGTGAACTCGACAAAGAATTGGATTTAGTAATGCTCACAGAGTATCTGGATGAATCATGTGTACTTTTGAAAAAAATGATGTGTTGGGAAACTGATGACGTCATATTCGGTACTTGCTATCGACTTCCCAGACCACGGATACCAATTACAAGTAAGATGGAGAACATCATCGCTGAATGGAATGCCGGGGATCTGAAGTTGTATCAACACTTCAACAAAACACTCTGGACTAAAATAGAAAATTACGATGGCGATTTCGAAGGCGACTTGCAGCAATTGCGTGAAAGAAAAAATGAACTCTCATCTTTATGTGTTGACAAGGTATCTGAGTTAGGGTGTGAAGCAATTAACAGATGTTATGCAGCTTGGAAAACCATATTATCCAAAAGACAGGAAGAAAGATTTTGTGGAACATCAACTCATTGACGTTTTGGGTTTAATGAATAAATCTAAGTTGATGTATTGAAAATTGCAAGATTCAGCAATTGTCGGCAGTGCCAGTTTACAGTGCTATACGTGCGTTAATTACATAAATACAAAAATTCTATTACGCTTTTTGATTTGCTTATGAATAATTCGAAAAATACCACTCGGTATTGAACTCTTTCCTTGGCCAACTTTTTTAATAGAGGTTGAACTCCGCCTTCTTCTAAACCCCAGATGTTGCAAGTTGACTAAAGATGCACAATCTTAGCCAAGCTGCAACGTTTGATTTACAATAGCGGTGTACGAAACATGATACAATTATGTAGCTAAGAAAATGCCGGTTTTCCAATTATGTACAGTTACCTGTAAAATTACATTTTGCACATGAATATATGTGTTACTAGTTTACATTCTGCATGCAAACAAAAAGGTTTACGGGAATAAACCAGCAGGCAGAACAATGAATAACTCCATAGTTGTTTTAACATGCAGAAATGCAATTATTAATAACCACAGTTTTGATTTCAGGCTTTAAATTTATGCCAAGCTAGGTTCAAAACACGGCTTTCGTATTGTGTATATGCAAAGGTATCTTCAATTGACAGCCCTAGTTGTGTAGTTGTTCATCTTTTAAAATATAATACATTCTTCAAACCTCTACGAATCACATCAAAAAGCGTTTGTCGCTAGGGAGATTAATACATAAATAAAATCTTACATTCAATATATTGATGAACTACTACTGATCTATCCAAATATTCTGAGAATGAAAAGATATATCTTTATTATATTATACTATGGGTTCATATATGTTATGAATTGTAGTGTTTTAACAATGTCAATAAATAACTCAATCCAAGTTTGGCCCAATTATGTTCCCAAAAGAGAAGTCTATATCAAGGTCAACCCTAAATGTCCACTAACACCCGAGAAAAGCATATTTCTGTATTTGTATGAGCAAAATCACTTTCTCTAAAGGAAAATAAGCATATATCTGACAAGTTATTGCGCATTTGAATCAAGTAATTCGCTAGGCCAAAATTTCAATAATTCTCCAAATACCAACAAAGTGTTGCCTACGTGAGTTGTGTATCGGGTGTAATAAAATATAATTCATCAAAACACTAAGTTATGTACAGTTATTGCCAATGAAAATTAATAGCAAAATGCATAAACCCTTGAAGCTTGTTATTTGTAAATTTAGGGTAAATTTGACTTCCAAATTTCAGAAAGAAATCATCCACAATTGCTTCTAAATAAGTATTGCAAATTTGTGTCGAATATTGTGTCAAATCAAAATAAACTTTAAGTTAAATTTGAATTTGCCACATTTTTGAATATCTCTCGGACATGCCTGGACCGATTTTGTTCAAGGTGTTCTCATGGATTTGTTTGTGCCCTATAAACTTTGAATGATTGTCAACCATTTTCTAGGCTTACTGTAATCTGCTAATGGTCGTATTATAACAGTATCCATACGGTAAACAATTGTCGCAAACCGCATTGCGCCTGTAACAGCTGTTAAAATGCACTCAATATCAATTGACGATGCTAAGATTTAACACACTGGCGGCCATTGTATGGCCAACGTGTTTTATTTAAGACTTCAAACAACAATAATAACAATAACACTAGTTTTAAGTGAATGACTCAAGCTGGAGTTAATGCATGTTAATCACGAAGGATGTCTGAGTTTGTTCAAATTTGAATGTGCTTAAATGGTTAGTTTAATACATTTTTTTGACCGTTAGCCAGCATAAGCTACTCCCTTGTGGCCTTGACTTTTGTTCTTATGATAATTTCTGGCTAATTTTTGGTCTCGAAAAGCCATGTTTGCAATATTGTAAGTTATAATCTTTCAAAATCACTGCCTTCATAGTTGATTTTTGAAGAACATAGTAAGAGTTTTCTAGAAGGTCTTTTGCCCCTCACAGAAATAGATGAAGGGGCATACCGTGTCATATATTATGACAGTTTATAGGATTCAGAAAGTGCGTTTGCTCTCTGGTATTGATCTAAAAACCCCACCACATAGGCACCAACGCGGGGTATTTCACGCATGTGGTCTGGTTGCAACAATAGAAGATAGTGAATTCTCATACCCATTAACTGAAAAACAAATACAATTCCCTCTCGATTATTTCTCTACAAAAACACATATTGGGTTTCAATAGGATTTAATAGAATCTAACAATAATTTTGTTATTGTCCCTTTTTCTGTGGCACACTTTGTTCAGATTATTATTTCCTCTTTTGTGTGTGATTATGATGATTACAGCGTCACTCAAGATTTACGAATGTGGCTACATATATTACAAATGCTGAAAAGGATAGAGATAATCCATGG